GCGTTGCACACTGACACTGCAGTTATCCTCATACGAACAAGATGAAAACGTTCTAACAATTACTGAAAGAGGCAAGCATGAAAAGGCAGAGTAGCACCTGACGGGAATAAAGGTAATTTATAGAGTGGCAGGTATGGGGCGCCGTTTGTAAAGTTAAGCAGTCAAAAATTACGAGCAATATTTATGGTTATTTAGCGTGTTATTTTTTTCCAATTCATTTTTTTTTTACAATGTCATTCATTCATTTATAAAAATATTACTTTGTTAAATAGATATTTAGTTTGTTAGATAAATATTTAACTCCAAACTAAATATTTAGTTTGTTAAAAAAATTATTTGGCTTTAAACTAAATATTTAGTTTGCAAATTAAATATTTAGTTTTTTTAACAAATATTTAGCTCCAAATTAAATATTTATTCAACAACCTAAATATTTAGCTAGCATATTTAGCTTTAGTGAAAATGCAACTTGACTTGAACTACCAAAGTAAAAGCCTGGGAATCTCTATACAACTCCTGTTTAATCTTCGTCACACTGACAGGAAATCACAAGTTAGTAGATGAAAAAACATGTAATTAATTCCAAAATGGAAGGTACTCTTTGACCGTATACATTTGTTTTAGGAAATGGGAAAATGTCTAATGTTATGCTAGCCTCCGTCACGCACATGGGGCGTTACTGTGTTGCCATAGAAACAACTGCTTCACCCTAATTTTTGACCGCTTAACTTTACAAACGGCGCCCCATAGGCAGGTGCATCTTATCACTGTAATTAACATATCTGAACAGAGTCAAGCAAAGATAAGAAATAAAAAAAAAAACAATAAAAAACAAACTGGCAGGATTCATGACAGAAACGTGTTACAGTTTGTCCAAAAAAGCAATATAATTTCAGACCTTCAAACTAGTTGTGCTTCCTGTTTTTATGAGAAAAGTTACAAAATCTAGAATGTCCATGATCTGCCATGATGGCTGAACATGTCAAGCGTGTGCCAGCTTCTAGTCCACGAGAAAAAAACAAATTAAATCCAGATGAAATGCTCTCCCTGCCAATTTGAGTCAACGCCCATGTCCTGTCTGGTTTGAACTTTAGTTAGTAGACAGACATATAACAATGACATACATTAGAGGTTTTAATGCTTTTTATAGAATCGTTAAACAAATGACACTGCGGGTTTCGATTTGTTCCTGCCTGTAGTTGTGGTGAGAAAAAATAAAACAGATTAGCTTTCCCTTTATGCTATATTTATAGCATTGAACTACATTCCTCAAGAGCATTGAAGCCTATAAGACAGCTATTACAGATGGCAATAAGGAAGCTGAGGAAACGGACAAACCTGTATGTCTGGGTTTGACATGCAGAAGCCAACTAGCCTACAATCAGTTCAAAAGTTCAAAGGATTGCTTTTTTATTTCATTAAAATATTTCTTTCCTTGTCTGTTTTTCCATGTTTTGGTTTAATAGCATCAGTAGTGTTCTTTTCTCATGGTGTTCTGCTAGAAGACTCAGGGGGGGGGATTCATTAAAGGTATAGAAGATGATCTTTTATTTCCGGGTGGATCATCTAAATAAAAGGTCCTCATAGTTGTCAATCATCCTGGTGATATGTTTACGTAAGGTCGTCCTACTTGCTCGTGCCGTTAGCTATCTTTTTCCTCACCTGCGCACTTTTAGGCGTATATCTGTGCTGAGCTATAGTTTCAGACAGTCATTGAAGTTCACCTTTCTCACCGCGGTTCTTTGAAAATGGCCGAGGGTCGTAAGAGAAAAAGTGTCTACGAAGTGTATGAGAAGAAAAGAAAGGCCTCAAAAGAAGCAGATATATCCCATAATGCTTTGTGGGGAGAACCCTCCTCGCAAAGCACTATGAGATTTGCTGTTACAGCCGCCCGCTGTTGCCGTTAGTGTTGTGCCGATGCCATTTTTTGGCCCTAATACCAGATACCTGGCTGTGCAGTATCGGCTGATACCGATACCATCTGTTTGAAATTGATGTGTGTGTGTATATATGAAGAACTGCAGACTACTTGGATGTAAAATAATTGCCATCATGGCTTTGTCAAGCTGCTGTCTACCTTTGTTAAGCAGGAAAAAGACTAATACAAAGTGAATCCAGTAGAACTTTTTATTACCTACCTGGAATGGGCGACAATAGTCGAGGAAACTTTTGGCTCTCAAAATGGTATCTGTGCCCCATTTGTTGGTACTCGCTGATAGCGATGCCACCATTTTAGTGCTGGAGTTGGGCCCCGCCCAATACTGATATCGGTATAAGTGCAACACTAGCCGCCATAAGCTGTCACTACCCGACAGCGGCGACTAATAACAAAGATGGCGCATGCACCGCACGGTGGAGTTACATGACCAACAGGGTGCATTAAGTAGAGACCAAAAGGTCAGTTAACTGAGTTTGCAATAAAGTTCACTATATAGCCCCTTGCAACCAACATAATGTGACTGCAGCAGGAGCTGCTATCGCAGGCTGTGTCATGATGCGGCAGCTCCTGTCCAGCATTGAGTCGTCACATTAAATCATATAAAGGTTGTAAATAGAGACAGAATGTCTGCTATTTGCATTTTAAAACATCTGAGTAAACTGAACTTTACAATGGCAGCTCATGAGGCAAAAGTGAAAGAGAAACCTACAAATCAGCCACTCTATCTTTTCCTCACAACTCCTAAAATCGCTTGTCCAAATCAATTATTATACAACTGTGATTTACTTATTTTCTGTTTTCTTTTCCAAATATTATCATGATCTGCCCTGATAGCTCACCTTAATTGTTAATTTCACTCACCTGCCTAACTCTGCCCAGTTTTTCTAATTATCACTCATCTCATCCACCTGCTGTTTCTCCTTTATATTGGGCTCATTTCCAGCTATCGGGGACAGATCAATGTTTGTTCCCTGTTAGATGTCTTTAGGTTCTGTTTTCATAAGTTCTATTTAGTCCATGGTTCATGTTCTTGTTCCAGTGAGGAGATTATTCTGGAGCCAGTATCTTCATGCGAGTTTATTCCCTAACCAATAGTAAGAGCATTTCAGTGTTTCTCTAGTGATTCTGATCTCCTGATTTCATTCCCAATCATCCACTGACCCTGACTGTACCCATCTGATCTGTTCACCTGAACCTCCGTAGGACTCCTGCTGGATTCTGCCAGTCTGTTTCCATGCGTTTCTGTTTAAGCTTGTTGCTTGACCCACGGGACTAGATTTATCTACTGACATTTAAAAATTGTTTGTCTTGAAAATAAGAACAAAAGAAAATACTCTGCATATATCCTTTCAAGAATTTGAAGACTTTTTTGCAGGTTTTGCACTCGATAAGAGATGTTGTAGCAACATAATACATGTAGAATGTGTTGCATTTAGCTAAAAAGAAGGGGAGCATGAGTCAGGAAATTCTTTAAATGACATGAAATAAAACCTTCTTGATTTCTGTTCATAGTTTCACTCAGGTTTTTAAACACTTGAGTAATGGACTTCACCTAAATACACAAATCATTGGTGTTTCTTACATGGTTTCTGTTGGGACTTACATGTTCCTCCCCGATCAAACCTATCTGAGCTGTTATCTCATTATATCCGGTATCATCTATCCATGCATTTACTCAGGTAAAAGGAGAAAGTATGACGCAGTAAAGCAAATTTAAGTCCATCCATTTTCCGTCATGCTTATCCCAGCTGGGGCCGCGAGGGATGCTGGTGCCTATCTCCAGCTGTCCACAGGCGAGAGGCGGGGTCCACCCAGGACAGGTTGCCAGTCAATCACAGGGCAACACAGAGACAAACAACCTTTTACACACACTCACACTTAGGGAGAATTTAGAGAAGACAATTAACCTAACAATCATGTTTTTGGACTGTGGGAGGAAGCCGGAGTACCCGGAGAAAACCCACACATGCACAGGGAGAACATGCATACTCCATGCAGAAAGACCCCGGGTGCTACCCACTGCATCATTGAGCAGCCTAATAATTTCAATGATTTAAATTAAACTAATTTAAGTTGAATTTAAATTCAACAAACCTAAACCTTCAAGATTTAGGTTTGTGTTATTACAAAGACTTACTTAAATAGATGCAACAAATAGTAATAACTACTTATGGTCTTTCTCTGTATATATATAGATATAACCTATATTATATATGTGTGTTTCTGTGTAGATAAAGATATGTAGATGTATTTTTATATGCCTGTTTATGAATCACGTTGTAATGATTGTGAAGGACAGAGTTGGAAAAACACAAAAACTATAAAAAGCAGTGATTTCCATAATAGTCACTGGAGTGTTTCACTATTAACCAGTTTCTTCATGTTCTATTAACACTACTTTGTCTCAGAGGTTCCCTCTAGTGACTAGAAGCAATAACAACAACGGAGACAAACAAGTCATGGATTTTCTGTGGAAAGTATTGAAAAAATATATTTTTAAGGACTGAAATGAAATAAACAACAAAGTGAAATTCATTAATCAATAGCAGTGGGCTTTGTTATAGTCTCATAAACTTCTGGCACTTGCCAACATCGTCTGTATGGGTAAATGCACTAATATGGAATCTGTATTAGTCCATAGTATATCTGCGTCTATATTTATGTCTGAAATTGAAGGATTGAGGGCAGGGTTGGCCTTGTGGTTAGAGCCGTGCACTTTTGCTCTGATGAGGTTGCAAATACTCATTCTGATCTCCACTGCCTCCATTCTTGACCCCTGAGCAAGACCATTAACCCTTTACAGGGCACTCAGTGAAATACCTTGACCTTTTTACCTTTGTAATATTCAAAAAATATGGATATTTTGATGGCAAAAAAATTAATGGCATTATATAATAACAAGAAAATCCAACTTGCCTGGATATATTAAGAAAAATAACAAAAGTGCTTCTATAAAAATTTAATGAAAAACACTCTGAGAGTGCAAGAAACACTTTTATTTAAGGTCTCATCTAATTGGTCAAATGCCAAAATAAGATGTACAGCCATTTAGCAGGATCTTTGCCCAATGGCTGGATATAGATCTTGTTCTTCTAGACCTCACTGAGGGATGGTGGGGGACTCCATTTGAAAGGGGTATGCAAGTGATCAGAAACGCTAACTTTCCCTATAAATTGTTAACCCAACGCTGCTCCCTGGGCGCCGCTCAATGGCAGCACGCCCAGGCAGCAGGAAAGCATTTATTCTCTTTTTTTTCCAGGGAGCCATAACATATTTCATAATAATATGCAAATGTGTTCATAGAATTGTGTCTAAGCTTTGTTTATATACATTAACCCTGCAAAAAAAATTACATTTCATACTAAAATTACAACAAAGGCTCATATTGAAAATTCACATAATTCAAAAGATTCTGACTAAAAGAATAAACTGCAGCCAACATTCAGACTCAAGTTGTGTAAGTAAGTATTTATCAGCCCTAGTTTTATATAAAAAAAAATAAAAATTAACGGCAACAATGTTCAAGACTGGCTTGAATAAAAAACGCGTACAAACCCGCAGTGATAAAAAGAGTCTTTCTCCTTGGTATCAGCATGTAACAGTCTGTGTCAACAGGCAGACATGTTAGTGCAAGACAGCTCAGTAAATTAAACCTGTTTTTCCACGTTTCGTTCAGTGATGAGCAACAATGGACACTTCCTGCTGCAAGAAGATCTGGATCAATTTCAGGAAAATCCCGAGCAGAGGTGTCAGTAACCAGCTGCTTCTCCCTTCTTCCTCTGGTCAGACACAGCGCAGACGCAGCCATCCTTTTTCTCAACTACATTAACCACATTGTAGAATCGGGTCGCTTCTTTCTGATTGTGCCCCAACGCTTTGAGCTCCTTAATTATATCCTGAGGATAAAGGCGGAAAAAAAACACAATAAGGTTAAATCTATGCACCGTGTTACCAGACACCTGAAAACAGTCACAGACACATTACCTTATCAAATTTGGGTTCGAACTTCAGTGTATTTTCAGAGTCAACAAACACAACAGGAGCA